ACAGCTCGGACGATCCGGGTGACGCAACCTAAACCCCGAAAGTCCCGAATGCGACTCCAAGACATGACATGAGTCTGAAACACTGTACACTACACCCCGAACCTTCAGGCCTATATTTGTCTATACAGCCCCCTGCACTCCGTCAATCCTGAAAGTGGGCAGTTCTTTCGGCGGTCGGTTGGCGACTCGCCCGCCGGAGATGTGAGAAAGGGTTTGGGTCTACCGTCCAGGGTTTGGTAAATTCAACCACAGCGGGAATCAGAGTTTAAGCATAATCAAGAAACGCTGTGGTGCCACTCATCAGACAAGCGCAAAATGGTGGTGGGATAGCACTGCCAAAATGATGAAACACATTTGCACAAGATGCGGAGGACGTCCGAAGCCCAAAATCACATGCCGCAAAGGTTCGGTATGCTCCATTTTGCCCATGGCGGACGCTTGCGGCGCTCTCGCTCCTGAAGCACGACCCACAAAATAAACCTTTCGGTCCAACATAGGTGTTCCAATGCCTGCTGCGAGCGAAGCTTTCTCACAGGCATGCCTCTCTTCTACAATATCCCCGTAGACCCTCAACGGACGTGCATCTTGTGCCTTGCGTGCTTGGACAACGCTCGCAAAAAAGAGTAAGTAACAAAAAGCAGTAACAACCAGCGTTAAAGCCAATTTCTAAGAACTGTACAAGCAATGCTGGTCTTGGTGCAGCAGCCGTACAGCCCACAGGAGCCGGCGAAGTCGCCTAAACCCTGGGTTTTGGGAAACCTTGAGCCCATGAAACCTTCGCAACAAAAGCCGCGTGTCCTCACGCGCAGCTTGCTTCCATGTGGTGTAGCAATGCTTCCTCAGCCCCAGACGCTCCCGTTTTCGGGTGTGGTATTCAGGGTTTAGGGAGCTCCACGAAACTTCAAGCTTAAGAAAGCATCCAAACAAAAGCCATCACTGCAACGGTCCAATAAGCCAAACCGGCACACCCCTCTGGGATCAGGGCTTAAGGTATAGGAAGTATGGGACTCGTACAAAGGAAGAACCCAAGTCTAGACCAGAATCCCGACCAATGACAGCACATCCTGGTTTAGAAACGTGGCACAGACAGGCACCTTCTCTTCAAGAGCCTCGATATTAGGATCCCCAGTATTTTTTGTATTACTGTGAGGGAATTTGCTCGGTAAATTCTGAAACTCAATAGACCTTTCAGAGACATTTTAATGAAGCCGTGAGTCCTGATCCTAAACCCTCATCCCAGTCCCAACTCCCATGGACTCGTGCCTCGGAGTCCCATTCTTTCAGGTCCACTAGGGAACGGGCTTCGGGTCTTTTGTTTGGGTTTTTCTTACGGAGTTTCTCCCCTCTCGCATGGCTGAGAACGATGTTCATAGGCGAGGTTTGCTTCTATCGGGTTTACCTGTATCCGCAAACCCTACGAAACAGTAGGTCATGACCCCCTAAGTATAGGGTCTAACCCTTAGAGCGGTAGGTTTTGGGATACCTGGGTATGATTTAGAGTTGGGGGTTTCGTGTTTTGGAGTTCACGGGTTTGGAAGCTTTTGCCTTGCTCTTCGCAAATCCTGGGGACCCCGAGCTCCAAACCCATAACATCCTGGCCTTAATACTAATTAGAATAGGGTTTTGGGCTTCTTAATACTTAGTATAGGAACCCTAGCCATAATATTGGTAATTATGTAGGCCCCTAGAGTACATACTTGTCAGTCAAGCTGCCAAGTGTTTTCGCCAATGTCCCACCTTGATGAGCGGGCACTCTCAAGGCGTCTGCTCATGAGAAACTGAAGAACCCTGGCCCGAAGTACCCCTCAAACCCGAAACCCGCAGGAGGAGGAGCAACAACTACAAGCAACTGAAACTGTCGCAAACATCGCCATCTTCTTCTTCTTGCGAGCCTCTGGGTCTCTTCTTGGTTCATGCTACCCCTTGCATCTTCACGTCCTAAGACTCAAAGCCCCAACCCTGAACCCTAAACACGTCCCAGGCACAGCATCTTGAACTTGCTTGCGGCTTCGGCCTCTTTGCAGATGGGGGTTTCGGGCTGCTCTTTCGAGTGTAGGGCATTGAGACTTTAGGATTGAAGACGGCTTAGGGGCTCGTTGCTTTTAAAATAAAGGGTTTCCGGGGGGGGGCTCCAACCTTTCATGGTACCCGAGACTTCTGCTGTGCTTCGGCCCCTTGCCTAGTATCTCTGTGGAGGAACTTCCCTTCAACACACAATCGAAAGGCATGGGACTCCGTCCGCCTCCCTAATTTAAACCCCTAACTCCCCAAAGAATCCAGACAGCCCGAACAGGCAACAGAACACCACGGTTTAGGGTTTAGGGTTTAGGGGTTTAGGGTTTAACACAGGCCGCAACGGGCCAGGCACGTTTTCCACTGCTCCACAATGAACCCGGTTGAGAAGGAATGTCCCGAAGTCTGCAATCCTCAGCCCGAAACAAAATCAACGAAGGCCTCCCTAAATCCTGAGCCCCCTCATCGAACCCTTGTGAAGCCCTAAAAAAAAAAGGCTTCAGCATGGGTTTGAGGTTATGTGCCAGCGGAGACTCCATGCTTATAGAGCCCTAAACCCCAAAACTCTCCTGGTTCTAGAACCCTAAACCCTAAACCCCTCCTGGAAACCCCCCAAAAAGTGCTCCAAGCCCCGGCGCCTCTGCACCGAAGCCAAAAGCCCGGTGGAGGCAGGTCGAGACCTGCTGGAAGCTTCCCCACCTGAGGGAGACATTGAGGGGGCCTCAAAATTTAAGGCTTTTCGGGCTTAGGGCTTCTACAAAGGCTCCTAAACCCTAAACCCTAAAACCTAAACCCTAAACCCTAAGGGCCCCCCAAAAAACGCTTTCGGAGCCGACGCTTCCCCAAATCCTCGGCCTGTGCGATTACTGGGGCCATGAAGCTGGTGGTATGCTGGCACTCTATGGGCCATCTTTTGGTATCTACGTCGTGGCAGGTCGTCCCCACCTCTCTGCATGAATGAAACCTGCAGACCGTCTTCAACCGGTATTGGTAGCTTGGCTCATACTTGCTTGCGCGACTAGGCTCACCTGAAAAGTGTGCTGGTTGCTCATGTGCTCGTTTCAGACATGTGATCTTTTCAGAAACCTGTCGCGCACATCTTCAGAAACTTCATCTCTCTAGCGTCAATTGCATCTCGGAAGTCCGGGAAAGAGTAGCATAATTAGGGGCCTGAGTCATTCAAGTCTGGGGGTTGGGGGGGGGGGGGCAAAAGCACCCATTTACAGGGACCATTCGGGTACAACCGACTTTGGGCACCCCAGGCGCATCTCTCCAAGCCCATTGACAACAAGACCTCAGGGTGTAATGTTTGGGTTTTAGGCTGTCTCAGCATTCATGCTTTGTGTAGATGTGGACGGCACATCTGGTACTTCCGGATTGGCCTGACTGTCGCAAGCGGTCTTCCTTCAAGCTCCAAAGGCAAACAAGAGCCCCCCAATTAACAAGAACTAGTTATCAACGAAAGATGCTCAAAGCCTAACCTCACGACGTCCCTTCCTTCTTCCAACCTCCTCTCTATCCTCTACCTGATTCCGAAACCTCAAACCCTTGAGCCCAGTAGCAAGTCATCCACTGAGGCTGCCCCTCCACAGTCCTGACAGCGAGCTGTATGATGATTGCTACGAGATAGCTACCATTACAAGCATTTCATCCTTCTTACTATTGCTGCTACCAGTACAAATCATCTCGATCATCGCCCTCAACCCTTGGCCCTTGCCATCTGCTGCCGAGGGGCTCGACCTGGGAACCGAAGCAGTTGCTACAAAGGAGACTGATGATGATCCTGATGATTCCGATGATGGTCATGGTTATGACTATGAGGATGATGAAAGTGATGAAGAGCGAAGGTGCGGTGATCAATTAGAATCGTCGCAGCGTCACCTGGGGAATCTCACGTTGCTAGTTTTAGCAGCGGATTGTAGCAGAGTATTGTTGACGATTGACGCTCCTGTAGCGTAGCCTGAATTCGAATGATTTCGCGTGCCCCGACATTAAGCCCACCAGGATCGTGAGAAATGAGTGTCTCGTGTCGAAGCTTCTTCGGCGGATCTAGATGAAGACTGTTGAGTGGCCTCTGATCTGTTACAAGCTTCTGTTCATGAATTCGTTTTGTTAGATTGAGCTTTATGCGGGACGACTGCCTACGGATTGTTCCGGCTGTATTGGGCGGCGGTGGGCGAAAGTTCATGGGAAAGCTCTAGGCCAGAACTGCACCCAGCTCGCTTTTGAAGCCATCGCAGCCATGTGCAGTCTTCGCGTGCTTCAAGAGTCGAGCTCCGCCCTCAGTCTTGTTGGCAACCCGGCCTCTGATGATGGCTCCAACTGTGGGCATGACAGCTAGAGTGTGCCAAGCCCAGAAGCCGACACACCTCAAATCCTCAACTCCATTTAAGAATTCCTCGTAGTGTGCACTATACAGAAAATAGTGGCAATAAGAGTAATAATCATCGGCATAGTAATAGCAATACTGATAACCTATAGCCCCCAATCCTTAGGAAAGCAAAGCCAAGAAGCACACGAGCAAGATCCTAATCATCTTATCGGCCTGGCATCGACGGCGCTTTGGAGGGTTAACGGTTAGACGAAGACGGTGTGCGAATTTCTTTTGTTATGACGGTTTTCAAGAGCTCTCACAAAGCTAAGCTCGGATATCTGCCGCCCGGAATAGAGTTTGGGGTATTTTATACTACAATTACTAAAAAGGAACCCCAAAATAGTATTGGCGATTATTATTTAGGCAACTATATTAAACGTCTATGTACAAGCTTGCAAACTTTTAGCCCGTCTCTACAGTACCCTGAAGCACTTGCCCGGTGCTGAAACACGCACAGCTCGCGCCGCAGGCTCGGCCTTTGCTACAAGAGAGCACTCTTGGCTCTTAGAGCAGGGCATCGGATTCCTAAAGTGTTCGGCCCTCAGAAACTTGAACACGGCTTTTCTCCGGTTCAGAGATTACAGTAGCGCTGAGCGAGGTTAGAGGCTCGATTCTAAGCTCTACAGCGCTTGAGTCCGTGCTCGATTAAATCAGCTCGCACTTCGAAGCCAATGATCACCACCTCTGAGAATCGTCTCTCGTCCTTTCCCCACTTTGATGCAAGGGCGACGGTGCCGTCGAAAGCAACATGGACTGCTTGAAACGCAAACTTGGCATCATAGCCCGAGATGGCCAGAACCCCTTTCGCCCGCATCACCTTGTCAAATTCTTGCTGCTGCAAAAGTAACTCTGATTACTAGTAGCATTCGCAAGTAGTGCTACTAGTATTAGCAGCTAACGTACTACTATTGTTATGAAACTAAGTCTGCCTTTGACATTACATGACCTGTCCCATCGAAGATTCCGAAAAGAAGCCCCATGATAGATCAAATTTCCCTAGACCCCCCAAACCCTACTGTAACCGGTCTATAATATATCAAAATACACTATAATATGATATGACATACTGTAATATACTCGAAGAACAGTAGAGTATGCAACAATACACTATGATGTACCCCTAAACCCTGAAAACGAGTCCATCCAGTCCATCGGCATCCATGTCCTGCAGTGTCCGCAGCACCCATCGGTTGAACGCGTCAAGCTCCAGGCTGCCCCAGACGCGCACGGAGATGCAGCGAATCCTAGGAGTTTACTGTTAAATTACCATCCTAAGGAATCCCTATTAATTATTTCCTGTAGATCCCTATGATGGGAGCTGAAACAAACTAAGTTAATTACCGTAATAGTTCTTAAGTCCAATTTTAAGTCCCTTGAATAGAGCCCTAAACCCTGAAACCTAAACCCTAAGCCCTAAACCCTAAACCCTAAGCCCTAAACCCTAACCCCCAATCCCTAAACCCTAAACCCTAATTTAAGTCCCTAAAGAAAAGAGCCCAGAATCTGCGGACGATCTGGCAGCGGCCCCTCTGGGGAAGGCTGCTGGTCCTTGCAGCCGAAGAGGTTTGGAAGGGGTTTCGGGCTTGGGGCTTAGAGGGTTTAGGGTTTAGGGCTTAGGGCTTATGGTTTGGGGTTTAGGGTTTGGAGTTTCGGTTTTAGGGCTTAGGGGGTTTTACGCTCTCACAACTCGAACATGGGGGGTCTAGGGATTGAGGGCTTTGGAAAATTTCGGTTTAGGACTTCGGGTCTTAGAGTCTATGAGGTTTAGGGTACAAGAACCATCAACCGGGGTTGATAAATAAAGGCATGACATCTGCAGCTCTATGCCTCTATGCTATCCCCTCCCCATCCTCGTGGTCAGAAACACAGATGCTCCGCAGCTGGATGTCCTCAGTAAGAGCCCGGAAAGGGGACCACCCCCCATCTTGCCGCCATGGCTTCGTGCACGGGCCTTTTCCGGCTCCAGCGAACAATGTAGCGAAGTCCACCTGCGCATTTCGGACACTTCGGGGGGGGTCCCCTTCTAGGAGTCTTTACAATTATTCCCTTTTAGGGGTTCCCTTAAAGGAGTCTTTATAATCAGGATATCCTACTGTTGAGGCTTCGGCTCGATTTTTGGGGCGGGCCCGTTACTTTGCGAAGCTCACCTCGCAGTAGGTACACGGTAAGATCTGCACAGAGTTGATCGCCCTTATGGCCGGACGAAGGGCATCGAAATCATCGCACTGGTCAATCTTGTTCAGTAGGAGCACGCTGGCAAAAGCGATCTGCACCTCAACCAGCCGTGCGGCCGGGGTGGAGGTGGTGGCTAGCAAATGCCGGGCCACGTGCGCAGCATCAATGACTGCAATGACCTCTTGGATCTGTAGGCTCCTTTTCATCTCCTTCGGGTTCGGGGATTGTTGGGGGGTGTCGATCATCTGCCAATGCTACAATGCTAGATGCTGCTTCAAACACATGCGACGGGGTTGAAAGCTTCTGACTTAGGCATGAATGAACCCCCACAGCCCAACTGCGTCCTCATCGAGGAGGAAGGTTTGGACCACAGCACGTGGATCTGCCAGGCCGCAACACTCCTTCACAAGACGAGATGGCTTTGTAGACGGCAACATGTCGTTAATATAGGGGCCTTAATAATTAGAATAGGGTTTTGGGGTGTGGTATTGGTTACCATCTAATTATGCAGGCCCTATGTTAGACTCCAAGACCGAACCAAACGGATACACTGCAGCCCCGACTCAATGACGATGCCCTCCACGTCACCCATGCCCTTATCCCTTACGCGGCAGAGAAGATCTCGAAGGTCACGTCGAATTTGACAGCAAGCGCATCCATTGATCAACATGACATTCTCCTCACCGGCTGCCTGGGGCTAGTGGCTATGTTTATTATTCAGTATAGTAATGAAGAAGACAGGATGAACAGCCTGACCCAGAGCTCTCCGATGGTAGTCTCAGTGCCTCAATCACCAGCTCGGCATCGAGGCTCGTGTCTCCTGTCTCATTCTGGATGACCAGGAGCCGATGGCCTTGCCGAAGGATGTGGTTCACCAGGGTGGTCTTCCCACTGCCCAGGAAGCCCGTCACGATCCAGACGGGCAGTTTCGCTTCACAGGGCTCCAGATCCGAATCTGCCGAGCCCCCCTTGGAGCAAAGGAGGTTCCGGGAGCGCAGGCGCCGGAGCTTCCCCAAAACGAGGCGCCAAAGCGGCCGGAGCCCCAGGGAGGCCACTGCCAAAGCCAGGGCTCCTGCCAAGGGCCCGAGCCTGACGGCAGCAGCCTGGGCTGCTTTGAGGAGGTTGATGTACGTCACTTTTACAAGGAAACCCTATTATGCACTAATTATCTATCTATCTCTCTCTCTCTCTCTATATTATATTATATTATATTCTATTCTATTCTATTCTATTCCATTATATTTATATAGACATATACCCATTCAACGCCTTAACAGGAGCCCAGCAGCAGCAACCAGCAGCAGGAGCCCCAAGCAGCTCAGCAGCCCGATCATCAGCTGCTGCTGCTGGCGAAAGGGCTCGAACCTGAGTTGCTGAGTTCTATAAGCCCAAAAAAGTGTACATTTTCAGTTCTACAAGGGGTAGAATTTCAGTTCTACAAGGGGTCATATTCTCAAAGATTCTCCCCAAAAAAAGTTTCATTAAAGTGTACATATCCTCCCCAAAAAGTACAAGGTGTACTCATTCGGCTCGTATGGAACTGGATGCCCCAAAGCATCTGGCGCAGCTGGCTCGTCTCGTCGGGCTTCTGCTTTTTGGAGTGCATCCAGAAAACGGCCCCGGTGCAGAGAACCGGCACCTTTAGGGCGAGGGTCGCAAGGGCCGCCGATGCTACAGCAGCAATTACGGATGAGTCAATCTACGGCTGGCTAGTAACGGCTGGTATGGGGGGAAGTTAATATTTTCCAGGTTTCCCCTTGCCCACCAAGAACGGCGAAGCTAAGAAGTCGAAGGCGTCCGGAAGAATCATCGCCGAGAGGCTGCGAAGGGAAGCAGCTCATGGGCGGGAAGCAGCTTGTGCAGTATTGGCCGACGGGCCAAGTATGATAGAGGTTTCTTGAAAGTTGGAGGGGAGCGGCACTTTATTTGTTAGGGCTGTTAGGGATGTCCTACTCGTTGGGCTCTAGATCAGGCTTCCTTAATCTTCTAAAACACCCACATGGCTGGCCAGACTGAATAAAGACTCGCATCTGCAGCTCTGTCGCGGAGATTCGAACAGAGGGCTTCACGTGCGCCCTAAACCCGTATGCACCTGGGCTATGCATAAACCCTCAACCCTAAGCTCTCTTGCACAGGCTTGATTAGCGCTCGCCCATCCAGATTTCCCGCAGCACATCGCAGTCGTGGCGAGATGCCCAAGGCTAAGTACCCGCAATCTTCACTATCTTACCAGCCAGCCGGTCGGATACGCTGTTGAAGAAGCTGATAACCTGATGGTTCCTCATAGATCGAGTTAGGAAGCCGAAGCAAAGCAAACCCTTGCCTTGGCAAAAGATCTTCATGCATGTAGAGACCCAGAAGAGCCCCGAAGAACTGCAATTGAATCCGCTTAACCCAGGTCGACACAACTTCTGGAAGAGCGCCAGCCCGGCAAAAAGTTTGAAAGCCCTCAGCAACGTGCAGCCAGTGAATCGTGCAATAGGCGCCCTCGCCTTGCACGAACAACCCTAGCCGCCACGGGACCTCAAGGCGAAAGACGTCCCTCCAGTGATCCGCACACATACGATGTAGTACTCAAGCCCTAATCCCTAAACCCCTAAACCCCAAACCCCCAAACTTTCAAACCCAAAACCCCGAACCCTTACCCCTAAACCCTAAACCCGAACTCTCTGCGATCCCAGGTCTGGGTGCTTGCCTGTCTGGAGGCATATGCTCTGCTGTACGACAGGCGTTTGCCCCTTTTTTAAGGGTTTTTAGGGGCTTTAGGGTTTCGGCGCTCACACTCGCGGGTTTCAGGTTTAGGGGTTTAGGGTTTTGCTGCATGAGGACTTCTGCAATCAAACCCATAAGGTAGAAGGTTTCGGGGTTGAAGGGGTTGCTCCTGCACTGCCATGGTGGTGAAGACTCTGGCGTAGGCCTGTAGCTGACCTGAGGGGCTTGCTTCGCCAGCTAGGTACTGATGGAGCTTGGCTCTGATGATGGCGTTGCTGTGGTGTTGAACAGCAGTGTGTGAGGGCTTCAGGACTTATCATGGGGGCCCCAATGATCAGAGCAGGACCGCTTCAATCAACGCAGATGTGATTTACAGTCAATGGCTGTACTCACCAGGACAACCTGTCCCATCCTCCCTGCCACTAAACCCGGAAACCTTGTCAGAGGATCTAGGGAAAAGATGTACTAACACCTGAACATACCTGAACCCCATTTGGTCGTGGCGAACACTCAATCAAGGGGTGCGCACTTCGAAACTCTGGAAGCTACAAAAGAAACACGGGGGCTCCTTCCTGTACTCCCTGTACTGTCCAAAGAGCACCCTGCAACGTGCAACCAGCAAACCAAAAAAAGCGAGGCAGAAAACACCCGCATCGTCATAAGCAGCCAGTTCAAGCCAGCAGTCCCAATGCAGAACCCCCACGTAAAGGCCTCGACAGTTCAACCCTAGGGCCCTATAGGAGCTTGATACCCAAGACTCTACACTACCAGCCCCAGACATGTGAGCTTCGGGCCTCCTTACTTTACCCCTAAACCCCGTCCCATCCAAAAGCCCTCCGAGCCCAAGGGGCTGAGCATCCAAGTCCGTGAGATGATAATGTGAAACTCGGATGCATCAAGAGCCTCGGGGACTAAGCATTCGGCTTTTGCATTGAGGGGTTTAGGGTAGACTGGAGCTCTAAGGCAAGGCTCGGGTGTAGGGTTGAGGGGTTTCTGTGGGACTTCGAGAGATTCTCGACTTGGGTTTGGGATCACTGCGGAGCATGCGTTCATGGCCTGGGGCCCAGCCACTGAATCGGACGTTTGTAGGGGTTTGCGTATGAACGCGAAGTTCTTAATCAATCTCAGATCAGCACTGAAGAATACGCAACACTCAGGCCCACGCATCACACCGCACCCAACATCAGAAGACAAGTCGGTACCCAGAAGTATGTTCCTACTGCTGCCTGCTGCCACGATCACAAGCCGAAGGTAACGCAGCCGTACCCGCGAGCCTGAACCCTAAACCCCAAACCCTAAACCCAAGGACCCTAAACCCAAGGACCCTAAACCCCAAACCCTAAACCCACGGCCCTAAACCCGCAAACTCATAGCAGAGCCCAGGGACCATCAGTTCGCCGCGCAGGCAGCCTGCCCGGCACGCTAGATGTCGGACTTTCAGCAGCTTTTAGGAGGCCCGGACAACTGTCGGGTTTAGGGCTTGGGATCTTTAAAACGTGCAGGGATTTTTGCTTCTCGGGTTTAGCGTCTATGTCGTAGCATCGTGCAGACGATGGCTTTGGGCTTTGGTGCGCGGAGCAGAGCTGTAATCTGACTTTCGGCCACTCTAGTAGGGTCCATCTGCCGTTGTGGTTTGCAGTGATTCATGCCGCAGACTGCAAACCGGTAGGCCGTCAAAGAGAATCAAGACAACCTGAAGCCATTAAAGCACCATCCCCAACCTCTTCAGGGTCTAGTAGGGCTTTGGGATGTCCTTTCCTGGACCCATGGCTAGTCCGTGACCCTCCCCATTCAGAAACTTCAGCCTCCTGAAAGCTTGTCCTGCAAACGGACTGACAAGGTGAGAAACCCCGGGGGGGCTACCCATGAACTGCTCATAAGAAAAAGCCTCATGAGCCCCCAGATACGACCCTTCTCACCCTGAAGCCTTTGTGCCGTCACCTCTTTTTTTTTAGCAAAATTCAGATGAATTCGCTTCAGGCTCTCGGCTGCTGCGGCCGGCACCACTTTTCAGACAAGCGGCCAACTTTGCTTTCCTGGAGGAGCATGAGGTGCCTCACCGTGGCCAGGGTCAGACGACCTTGCAAGGGTAAGCCATGGTTTTCTTCGGGTACTTAGAGCCTTTGCCAAAAAATGCGACTGTGTCTGCTTTACCCTGGGGATCGAGAGACCTCTTTGGCCTAGCGACTCCTTTTTGTTGAAGCGGGACGTAATTAATTGTTGAGGGTAGTGGTGTATGGCGCCCACCTATGACAGGGCTTGGGGGCAGGGTACAGTAGTACAGACCCTTGGGAAGCATCATCATCAGCAGCAGCAACGTCCCCTTCTCCTCACCATCCTCATCATCACATGACCATCACCATCACCATCATCATCACCATCATCATCATCATCAGCTTCCTTACCCATTGTCATCATCAAAGTCTTCTTCCAAGGGCGAAGGCTTCAGGATGGACGCATGCTCGATCCCTGTGAGGCAGCTACACGAGTCGATGATCAGAGAGCTGTCTGGGCCAATACTTCGAGGCAATTCCTACAAGGTGGGCTTTAATGATGTGTATGTGTTTGTTTTTTTTTGGTGTGTGTGTGTGTGTGTACCCGCTCGGTCCCGCGGGCCGAAGAATCAAGCAGCCTTCCTCCCCATCTGTGCCGCCTCTGAACAAGACTTCTCTTCGTCTAGAGTGGCAGCAACGAAAGATAAACCAACGTCGACAGCTAAAAATTCAGTGTTACAAACGACGTCCCTGTAATCACTTCAGGGATAGCAAGTGGACTTAGAAAAACCCATGGGACCTGGGTATGGAGGGCATCACTAAGAGGACAAAGCCAATACCGCCAATTCCTCATCTTGGCTTGCTTCCAAAGAACCCTGACTCCAAAGACTTCTACCCAACATCTCGAAAGCTCCGACTTCCCACACTCTGCACTTGACTGCACGGTAAAGCAGACAGCAAAAAGAAGCCCGAATCTGCCTCGATGCTCCCAGTTGCACCTGGTTCTTCGGCTTTCAAGAGTCCCAGGGCTGGGGACTTTCGGGAAGCTAGCCTTCAGGTGGGTAGTTCTCTAAATTAGGGTCCCTTTTAGGGTCCTTTTTATAAGGGTGCCGTACTATATTGGGGACCTGAAAACGGATCCTAATTTCGACAACTACCCAGGTGTTGGCATCAGGGCCCAATCTTCTTGAGCAACACAGCTGTAAGGCTGTTGGGAGCAGGACTACGGCCAATGCCAACAACCACCAGCCTAGGATTCGTAGCCAGAATTTCCTAAGCAGTACCAGGAAGCCTGTAGAGGACGATGTCGATCGTGTTTTACCCAAGAACTGTTGTAGGCAGTCTCTAAACCCCTTTTTTGAGCAGGGTTTAGGGTTTAGGTCTCTAAACCCCTAAACCCTAAATCCTAAACCCTAAACCGAATCGCAAAGTAAGGGCACGCAGCCGCCTGAGAGTTCCGGCTCTGGAACGAGAAGAACCCTAAACCCTAAACCGTGCCCTCAGAAGCCCCGTAGCATGCCCTGACGTCCCCTATGGTTTAGGGTTTAGGGTTTAGGGGTTTAGAGTTTTGGGGTTTAGGGGTTTAGGGCTTAGGGCTTAAAGCCCCTTAAACCCTCAGCAAGCATACTAAACAGACGAGAACCCGTGGGGACGTAGTGAGCGTCAATGGACACGAAAATCAGAAGAACACTGGGCACCCTCCCTTCCACAGGCGCTCGAGCGAAGAAAAGAGTAGGCTTGGTATATATGATACTATACTTGTTCAGGAACTGAAAAAGGGTACCTTAACACAAACTCCGACCCCTACATCATCGAAGGCAGCCACAAGGCCACAGAACCGGCTCGCACATCCAGCGCCCAGCAGACACCTGCTGAAAGCTCTTGTGCTGTGGGTTTTGGATTTGGGCAGCACAGGGGCCTGAGGAATTAGAATGGGACTACGTATCATTACATATACGGACTACGAATAACGGGATTCTATTCAGGTACTAGTGCTACTCTCGCGACTCGCATGCGGAGGGTTGAAGGCCCTGCCATGTCCCTATCGTCTCTCGAGGCACCGTGTCAGAAGTTGGGGCAAAACCCTGTAAGATGTTCCTAGAAG